AGGGAGGTCCCCGAGCCCCGCCGCTACCCGGCGCCACCCGCCGCGCGTTGTGCCAGCGAGTATAAACTGTTTAAAATTGTTCAGATTCTTTCATTGGATGGTTCTGTGCCCAAACAACCTCGTAACCACGCGCTTCTAACTCAATTTTTAAAAATCAAAATAAAAAGTGACCCAATTTTTTAAATGGGCCAGTCCCTTTTTGAAATTGCAGCTAGTTCTTCTGTAATGATGGCACTTGTGATGGCTCCGAAGGTGTTGTGGAATAATAACTGTTCATTGATAGCGGATTGATCACTATTAGAAGTCTGGAAGTTGGTGTTTCCATTATTATTTTGCCATTTCTGTAAATAAATAAATACAGGATCGGAGACAGGAAAAAGGAAAGTGGCTGGAAAATCATGAACGTGGCTTGAGAAAAGTCATATAGCCTCCTCGGACCCCAGTGGCCTCCTGTGTAACATTAAAAGTTTATCTTTGGGCCCCTCCCAGCACAGAGTCTCAATAATAAATCGGTTTTAGTTAACTTTATTCATAAACTTCAAATCCTGAGATTTTAATTAAGAACACATCTACCATGCCAGATATTACCAAAAAATGTTTTAAGTCTTCACACACTGAGTCTGTCATATTATTCCTAGCAAGTTTTTTTCTTCAGATATTTTAAGGCTGTAAAGGTGAATAATAATGTTTATATTAACATTGCTTTTTCTCAACTCCCTTATTAGTCTAAACAATTTTTTGTGTGTGCAGAAGATAATATTAGCTGCAATTTTATAAATTAGGAAACACAGAGAGCCAATAATTTGTGCTGTGCTCAGAAATATGTAAACGATTCCCAGTCCAGATCTCTCCCAATACTGTGTGTAGACTGCTAAGGCATGCCAACTCTCATATGAGTCTTTTGAAATTAGCATGCATTAAAAGCACATTTTAATGTGATAAACTGGTTACTAAGCTAGTAACTCCCTTGTGATCTGTAATGTAAGTAATCCAATTTCAAAAGTAGCATAGGAAATTTGCCAATTAAATTGTGTTATTTAAATATATACAAAAACTTATGAGAACTGTAAAAATTGTCAGTGTAGACATACACGTAACTTATCCGTATTGATATTGTCCTTTCTACAAAGACTGATAATTTGGGGTCTTAATAAATCCACACTTAAAAAACACACACACACACTTTTTTTTAAGATGTAAAGAAGTCTTATGCTTGGGGGGGAAAATCACAATTATTTTGTGTAACAATTGATTTAGATGAGTGATCCAGTTGTAGACCTTAGATGATTATCTACCATTTCTGGACTGTCAGATTGCACACTTGTTAACTTCCTGGAGGAGCAGTTATTCCCCATGACATGTGATTCAGGATGTGCTCATCCTCTTAGTAACAAACTGAAGAAATCAAGTTGTAACTTGGACCCACGTAGCAGTGCTCATTTACAAAGATAACGTGTTAATACTCTGCATGGTGGAAAC